AAAAATGACGTACAAAAACTAGGATGGCTGAAAAAAGAACACAATGACAGTATTCCGGATATGATATACAACAACAAAACGATGACGTGCATGGTAGCACAAAAGACAAGTGCACAGTGCAGTGGTCTCCACACAAACTAAAAGTTGCCTGATGATGGCCCATATGTGGCCGAAACATGTTGCAAAATTGGAAAAACATTATGTAAAACAAAAAGATATTGTAACGTGTTTACGTTACTGGAGACGCCGTAGAGATGGTTAATTGGTTTATTTAACAATCTTCAAACAACGGCTACAATTAATTATCACAATGTTACGGGTTTCCACACTTTACAAACCCTAGAACGAAATCTCTTAACACTCTCTTCGAGAGTCTTCACGTACTAATAATGCGGGAGCTATACAAGTCTCCCTGAATTACACTCTCCAGATATGACTGGTGATCACTGGTTATCGCACACTCGCAGGCTGCTATGTTTCAACTGAAGTCGTCGACTGCTACGGTAGAACTGAGAAGTCGTTGATAACGCACTCAGCGACTGTCACAGTACAACTGACGTCGCTGACTGCTACAGTAGAACTAACTTGTACCAGCTGTGCAGCTCACTTATATAGCTGCAGTGCTTGCCGGTTGCATAATGAGTGCCACATCATCCTGTTACATCACCGCTGTTGACTCGCCTTGCATAGTTACCAGGTTGCGGGGGCTCGGCTATCTTCGGCTCCGCTCGTGATGTCACCGCGCATAGCTGCCAGGATGCGGGGTGATTACTCGCCTATTACGCGAGCGTTACGTTACCGCTGAGGGGTGGGAGGGGAGCGCTGACTCACCCGCCGCGTCACTGCTGGTGTGGGGGGGGGCTCGGCTTTGCGCAACATGTCACAATATTATGAAGTATTTTGACAGTCACTTTTAGTGTATAAGATATACCTGCAGTGTCTTAATGATATTTTATGATATTTAATAACATTTTAAAGTATTAAATTTATACATTTAGTGAAAGAAATGTATATTTTATGTGTCTTTCATATCACTGTTGTATTATTGACAGTGTACTTGAATAATGACTCCCTTGGGGATTGGCCAGTGCAAACAGCTGACACCTCACCACTGTCTGTGAACTGACTGTAGCAAATGTAGGAGCCTTGACATCTCATGACCTTATGGGCCTCCATGGCATGTTACAGAGATAGCTTTACTTTTTTTTATATCAAAGTACTATCCCAGCATATTCCCAAGATATTGCATGGGTATTCTCACTCCTTGGCAAATGCTGGAATAGAAATTTACTTCCATTCTCTACCTAACCCATCATTTTCAGTCATCTTATCATTTCTTATTTTGTTATGCAGTCTACTTTTTACAAATACCATAGCTATAACATAGCCTTTCCAGCACGATAAAAGTGAATTCAAATACACACATTTTAAATCCATCACCATCAAAGATTATTGGTCAAGAGATGAGCAATACTACACTCCATTCTACCATTAACACCATGGTACGAGACCGTTTCTTCCATATTTTGAGATTCCTACATTTTGAAAATAATGAAGCTCCTCCAAATCGAGATGACCCAGAGTATGATAGGCTCTGGAAAATTAGAAAAATTTTTGACAATCTCAACAACAAATTTTGTGAACTTTACAATCCAGCAGAACATCTTGCTGTTGATGAAGTCATAGTGTTGTTCAAAGGAAGAGTGATTTTTTGTCAGTATATTGCAAAGAAATGCAAAAGATTTGGTATAAAAATTTACAAGCTTTGGGACTTTTTTGGGTATACTTATGACATGACAGTTTATTTGGGCAAACAAAGGCAACTTGCGCCAGAAGAAATTACATCGACATATGACATTGTTCTCTAGCTAATTCGAA